CCCAAAGGTCAGTAAATTTCTAAAGAATAAAAAATCTAGGAACTTTAACAATCAGCATTTCATGCATTCTGATTTTTTTTTTCATCACTTCTAGTAATGTGCCTGATAATGTTTCAGGACATTCATTTGTTGGGAGTGATGAGTTCACCGCTAAAGCGACACACCAGAACGTTTGCTGGGGGTGTGAAGAATTTGTTATACAGAATGTATCCTCAAGGTCCTTCATAAACTCTTTCACTCCTTTGTTTTTATACCAGTTACTTTATGCAATCATTTTCCACGTTTCAAAGAATTACTAAAATTGGTTGCTTTCTGTGAAATGGCAGGGCTGGGAAGAAACCGTCTTTGGGGCCAAGAGCTGTCGATTTTAAGCGACTAGGATAAAAATCCGAATAATTAAGAAATCGTCAAATTTACTTAAGGAAAAATGGAAGCTGCATTTGTGAGTAGGTGAAGCTTTACCAATGTGGATCGAGGAATAATTAAATTTGAATAATAAGATGAATGTGAAAAGCTACGGAAAAATAAGGAGGAGTATTGTTTCCTTTCTTTCCTGTAATCCGAAATGATATTTCAAACTGAAAATTGCTTCTGAACTGCTCCTCGAACTCCATATATGCAACTTTAACTATCAAGTATCCTTGAAATCTGTAATCCCCACGATTTTCAGGCGTGACCTCACCGCAACTTATCGAAAGTGTAGGCATGAGACAGTCGGATGAGGATTACTGCAAGCCAACAAATATCGCCGGCACTGAAGATCATTTCTGCAGGAATAGCGGGATTTGCTATAGCACAAACGAAGGCCCTAAATGTGACTGCTCATTCACCGACTTCCAAGGAAGACGCTGCGAGCAGCGTTCGCTTTTTTCGTTTTCTAATATGTGTTGTTTGGTAAATTGGCTAGAAATCAAAGTTAAAAAAGATTTAGGTAATATTTCGGTCAGAATTAGTGGGACCTATCTGTGTGCGCTGGACGTTTCAGATGAAATTCTCGCTACAGCATTTATGCGGCAGAGTACAACTGCAAGGAAACATTGCTGACTTTCTGGATCTCAAGCGTTAGACATTCTTCATAGCTGACTTTCCGGATCAAACACTGAACCTGTGTAAAATAAGCCAACAGCATAAAAACATGTGATGAATCACTTTGATATACGTAAATAAAACGTATTGCAATTGCATGGTTTAATTTTAGCTCGTGCCGATTCGGAATTATCATTTTTTGGTCAAGAATGGATCGGATACGATGTGAGCAACAGTTCGGCAGCAGTGATACGTTGCCGATCCGAGAACATAACACTATCGTTCAAAACGGTGCATGGAAGAGCGCTTCTGTATATCGGAGGCGATCGCTCAGTGAGTCCTTCACTGATAGTTTTTTTTTCCTTTGCTTTGCCACCAGTCAGTATACCATGGATTTTTGAAACAAGCATCTGCCCGTTTTTTGCTACTGCCATAGCAAAAAACTTAAACGGTCATAGCTTTTTTTTTTTTTTAACTGAGTCGACTTATTTTCCTTTTTTACGAGGGAGATAACAACCAGTACTCATAAAATGCAACACTTTTTTTTAAGTTTCACGAGCGGTGACGGTTCTTTCTAGCTAAGTGTCCCCTTCAAAAAGTAGCGACTTCAGCGAGGTGGGTTAAATTAGTCTTTTTTTTTTCAATAACTGGCGCATTTTAAGTTTTTAACTTCTTTGCTGAAAATGCAAAATAAAAATTGTTGATTTTCCTCATATTTCACAGGCAAAGTTCTTTAATAATCTGTTTCATCGTTGCTTCCTCTTTAAAATTTTCTAAAATAATTTTCTTTATAAAAACTGTTGACTACGTATACGTCACTGCCTGCATATTTCAGAGCCAAAAAAAGCTGGAACTTTTTTCACATTTTACTCGCTGTGCGAGGTAGAGGCATCAAAAGTTATTGGGGTGCTAGCATGGCGCCAACGGGAAGTCCCACTGACAGGCTCACGGGTGACTCCCTCTTTCGAGTCTTGTTTAAAATCAAGCTATGATTATACTCTTCCAGCACTGTGTTTCATTAACAATTCAACAAAACTAATATTAAAACAGTGCAAAGAATTCCTTTTTATGCGTTTTTGCCGTGCAGCGCTAGAGCGCTGCAACAGGCAGCAAAAACGCATAT